TTCAACTGGATTATTCACCTTTATCTTGTTGTGGTGCTCAAGTATTTTATAAATTCTAGATATAAGTCCCTTATCTGACATGTCATTACCAAATACTTTTCCCCAGTCTGTTGCTTCCCTTTTTACCCTGTTGGAGAAGTTTTTGGATGTGCATAGGGATTGGATTCTTAAAAGGTCCCATTAATCTATTTTATCTTCTCCTGGTTGTAGATTTAGGGGCTATGACTTTTTGGAGGTAGATCTCTAGGCTCTTCTTCTGGGGTATCTCTGAGTGGATTCAAATTGCTAATCTTTTGATTAGTGGTTGAGGACTTAACCATTTGTTCCACCCATGTTGTGTTGTTATGTACCGTGGAGTTGGAACGAACTCATACTTGACACTCCAGCAGATTTTTTTCAGAGGCTGTAAATCTCTTGGGAAGAGAGTGCACATTTTCCCCCACAAAGAACCTGATTGATCTAAGTAAGCTGCAGACCTCACTCCCAAGCCACTGGGCCTCCAAGCAGGTTTCATTTCTCTTTCTGCCCTCGAGGTAATTCTGAGTCTCAGTCACCCTATGGAAGAGGGTAGAATTGTCTCATAGGGTTTCCAGAAGCTATAAATCAATATGGGAACAGATTGCCTCATCTTACTTCCTTGGAGCAGCTGGTGAGCTTGAACTGCAATCCTTCAGCTAAACACCTTTGCAGGATAGGTACTATTATTCCATTTCAAAGATAGGAACCTGGAGGCTCAGAAAGGTGAAGTGACTGGCCCAAAGAAAACATCACTTGGAATTGGTGGGGGGACGGGCTGAACTTGAGTAGTCCCAAATGGATGCTCTTAACTGCTAAACCCAAAAGCTGGTTCAGTTCTAGTTCCTCATTCCCTCCGAGCAACACCTCCCTCCGCCCGTCCCCCAGGCTCCCTATGCCCTCTCAGCTCCTTTTCCCCTAGATGAGCCTGGCACCATGACTGTAACCTGGACCACCTGGACCCCTACCCGCTCAGAGGTGCAGTTTGGGAGGCAGCTTGCAGGGCCGCTGCTGCTCCGGGCTCTGGGCACAGCCAGCCCCTTTGTGGACGGGGGCATTCTCCGCCGGAAGCTCTACATCCACCGGGTCACGCTGCGCGGGCTGCTGCCCGGGGTTCAGTATGGTGAGGAAAGTCCCGGGCTGAGCAAAGGCTGAGGGAGGATGGGAAGAGAAGCAAGGCATGGACCTGAAGCTCCCACTGATAGGGGTCTGGGACTGGGCTCCTAACTCTTTTGCAATCTGCAATCCTATGAAGTGCTGGGTCCTACAAGGAAGGTATGAGAGGTCCCTGGGAGAGGTGGCCAGAGGGACATGGGTCAGATCCATCCAGGTGAAGATGGGTGGAGGTTAGAGGAAGGGTTCTGGGCACCCCCCAGCTGACTGTGACTTTCTCATGTGCTATTAGTTTACCGTTGTGGCAGTGCCCAGGGCTGGAGCCGTCGATTCCGCTTCAGGACACTAAAGAAAGGCCCCCACTGGAGCCCCCATCTGGTTGTCTTTGGGGATCTGGGGGTTGACAACCCAAAGGCTCTTCCCCGGCTGCGCAGGGATATCCAGCAGGGCATGTACGATGCTCTTCTTCATGTGGGTGAGGCTTCGGCAAGGGCGCCCTGGAGGTGTACGGTGGGGGCAGGGGAGGCGGCACCAGAACAGAGATAGGGAAGGATGGGGATCTGGGACCAGCTTGGATCTGGAGTCGCAGAGGATGAGATTCAACAGCCCAGATGGAATCACTCAGAGCTATGTGCCTTGGTTTTTTCCCCCTCTGTATAGTCAGTACACAGTAAGACTAGTTCAGAATTCATAGGATTGTTGTGATGACTAAAGAAGCTGATATGTACATAGCTCTTACAACATTGCTGGGCTGTGTTGCAAGTGGCAGACAAGTACGTGCTAGTTGTTGTTATTATTGTTGTTTAGGGGCAAGGGGGTGCGATGGGAGCTGGTAATCAGACTGACTCCCCAAATCAGACCCCAGCTCTGTTAACTTAGGCCAACACTTCTCCTATCTGGGCCTCAGTTTCCCCATCAGAAATGGGTTGATAATGATGCTCACCTTGTGGGCGTTGTGACAATTGGGGTGATTGGGTGCATAAACATTTGGGGCTGTGCCCAGTACAAATGCAATTACATATGAGTCTTTTGCTGGGATAGTGGTTTGTACTGTTGGCAGGATGACAACAGAGCTGGGGGCTCGTGACATCAGGGCCCAGGAGATTAGCATGGCCCTGAGAGAGCCCAGAACCGAGAGATGGGGGGAACAGTTCTAAGAGCCAATGTGAGTGGGTGTGAGGTAGGGATCAGGAAGCCAGGGTAGACCAAGTGTTGTAAAATTATACATCTTTGACTCAGGTCCTTCAGTTCTGGCAGAAACAGAGCTAGGTCTGAGTTCAGAGTATTTTCTCATACCTTCTTCCCCTTCTCAGGAGACTTTGCCTACAATATGGATGAGGACAATGCTCGAGTTGGGGACAAGTTCATGAGGCTCATTGAGCCTGTGGCTGCGAGCCTGCCATATATGACGTGTCCTGGGAACCATGAAGAACGCTAGTGAGGACCCAGGGCTGCAAGTGGGCACAGGCTGGGCAGGGGTACAGGGCAGGCTTGGAGCAAAATGGATAATTCTTTGCCTTTCAATGGTCTCCTTCTTAACATGTCTAAGTCTCATGTGGCCATAGCTCATTTGTGGTCATAGGAGGAGAAGAGAAGAGGGATGACTGACCTGTTTGTCTTTGTCAGTCCTGGGAGCCAGACTCCAGGCCTGACGGGGGGTAGTGCTGAGGGTAGTGAGCTATGGCAGCCAGGCCCTCACTGCATCCTTTGACTTGTTTTATCTAGCAATTTCTCCAACTATAAGGCTCGCTTCAGCATGCCGGGAAACACAGAAGGCCTTTGGTACAGGTAATCTGAGGATGCTGGGGATGGGCTTGCTCGGCTGAAGGATGGAACATGCATCAGAGACCCGTCTTTTGACCCCTGCCCTTTGAACCCTCCAGCTGGGATCTGGGTCCGGCCCACATCATCTCTTTCTCTACTGAAGTCTACTTCTTCCTCCATTATGGCTACCAGCTGGTAGAGAAACAGTTCCGCTGGTTAGAGAGTGACCTCCAGGTAAGCAGTGTGGGGGTTGCCCTGGGGCCCTGGGGCCCCCAGCCTCCCTCCCTTTCTGCCCTCAAGCCTTGCCCCACACTCTGTGCTGTCTCTCTAGAAAGCAAACCATAATAGGGCAGTCCGGCCATGGATCATAACTATGGGCCACAGGCCCATGTATTGCTCCAACGCTGACCTGGACGACTGTACGCGGCATGAGAGCAAGGTAAGAACAAGGGAGTCCTGCGGGCAGGCAAGACCGATAAACATCAGCCTTCACCTTATTCATCATTCCCAGGTTCGCAAAGGCCTCTTTGGACGCTTATATGGGCTGGAGGATCTGTTCTATAGATACGGTGAGTGGCCCATGGACCTCCCAATCCCACGCCCCATTTCTCCCAGATTGAGATCTCTGACTCCCATCTATTCTAACTCAGGGGTCGACCTGCAGCTGTGGGCTCATGAGCATTCATATGAACGCCTGTGGCCAATTTATGACTACCAGGTGAGGTATAAGGAGGGCCAGAGTCTCATGTGGTTAGTGGCAGTGGACACCTGGACAAGGCTCGATGTGACACCCCACTTTGTTCCCTCCTGAAGGTGTACAATGGTAGCCGAGCGACGCCCTACACCAACCCTCGTGGCCCTGTCCACATCATCACAGGATCTGCTGTGAGTAGGGCAGGGAAGGGTACCCTTGCCTCTCTTGGTATTTCTTGAGGGAAAATGGGATCAGCCTGTATGACCCATACTTTATGCAGGTGATATTATTTAACCCTCACTATAAGGGAACTCTGGTGACTTAGTAGTAAGGAGCTGTACTGCCAACCCAAAGGAATACATTTGAATCCATGAGCTTCTCCACAGGAGAAAGATGGACAATCTCTTCCTGTGCAACCTATGTCTCTGAAAACCTGTTGGAGGGTCAGCTATGAGTGAATTCCAACTCAACATTATATAACAACAACAACATCAGCATAACCCTAGGTTGAAAGAGTCTTGGTGGTATAATACGTTACATGTTGTGCTGTCAGCAGCTCAAATTCACTAGCTTCTCCTCAGGAAAAAGATGGGTGTTGTCTTCCTGTAAAGAGTTATAGCCTTGAGATTCAACCAAGGGCCACTATGTGTGGGAATTGACTCAATGACAATGTAATAATCCTAGGTTAGGGAGCTCTGGTAACAGAGAGGATTATGTGTTGGGCTGCTACCAAAAGGTTAACGATTCAAACCCATCAGTTGCTTCATGGGAGCCGGGATGAGGCACTCTACCAGTATTAAGATTTGCCATTTGGGAAACCATTGGAATCAACTCAACAACAATTAATTTGGTTTTTGGTTAACCTTAACTCATCTTAATCCCTCATGCTTTAATACATGGGAGAACATTTAGCCCCCGCTGTAACTCCACCAGAGAGCTCTGGTGACACAATCTGTATGGAACTACTCAAAGGCTGTATCTCTCTGATGGTTCAAATTCACCAGCAGTTCCTTGGAAGAAAGATGGCCACTGTCCTTCTGTGTGAGCTACAGCCTTGGAAAACCAATGGAGGTTCAGATATGAATGTGTTCTGATGGGACATGGAAGGAGGAGAGAGAGAAATTCCAGCTTAAGGAGCTTTGATGTATAGTGTGTGCATGTGTTGTGCTGCTAAACCAAAAGATTGAAAGTTCAAATCCACCAGCCACACCATGGAAGAAGGATGGGCAGTTTCCTCCACTTAGTATTTACAGCTTCAGAAACTTGATGTAGGGTGACAGTAAGTTAGAGTTGACTTGAAGACAGTGGATTTCGATTTTTGGGTTGGTTATAATTCTAGGTTAGGTACGCCTGGGAAAATACCTGTTGTACAGATATAGAGATAGAGGTCTAGTCTTCAAAAGCTCAATATGAACAACTGGCAGTACTTGAGGGGCCAGGCCAGGTCTGTCGGATCTAGAAACAAATGGCTTACTAGGATCTAGGGGAAAACAACAACAAACAAACACAGATTTCATTCCCACTCTACCAGCTTTCCTGGTCTAAGATCTTGCCTTGTATTTAGCTGTTGAATTTCCCGTAATCTGTAAGAATCTCTCTGTCTTCTCTTCTTGCCTTTTATCTTTTTAGATCATCACTTTTTTCTGCGGCATGTCCCTAGTTTGTATTTTATGTATTTTTTTTTCGTGATGAGATTTAGATTGTGTAATTGGGGCAAGAAAAACACAAAAGTGATGTATCCTTTACATTATACCAGGAGGCATGTGGTGTCAATCTGTTTCAATCTGACCACTAGGTGGCTCCACTGAGAATTTACTGTATTGCTTTGACTTAATAAATCCTTGGGAGAAATACTTTTCAACTTGCTGGTGTTCTGGACCTGCTTAAGTTTTCACCCACTAATATTCACATCCATCAGTGCATCCATCAGTGGATCTTGCTCCACTGGATAATTGTGAAGGTCTATTGGTGATATTCTACCTGCTTCCTTCTCCTTCCATTTATTAATTAGAAGTCTTGTATATTTGGTTACTCTCTAAATCTGAACATTCAGATCAAGACAGACTAGGAAGAAGGATTGGCCACCCACTTCTGAAATAGCAGGCCTCTGAAAACCCTATGCACAACAGAACACACGCAGATTA